AGAGAGAGAGAGAGAGAGAGAGAGAGAGAGAGAGAGAGAGAGAGAGAGAGAGAGATGCAATCAGACTCGCTTTCTTTCACAACTCACATGCATGTAAACAGGTAGTGCAGCAAACTGGCGATGAGCGCCCACTCAGAACTCAGAGATATGGTAACCAAGGACACAGTTCAGATACAAGCTCACTTCAAACAGCTATGCCGCGACAGCGCCTGTACAACTCTCTGTTCGTTGCCAACCCAACTCTGCTGTTCACACACACAGGATCACCCTGGATATCCCACACGCGTCACACTGTACACACACGCACACACACACGCTACACTCCTCTATCAGCTATGGCGGCTATGGCCTCTACTACTCCTATCGCGATGGCTAAGCTCTCCTTCTCGCCCACTTCGTCTTTGGGCTCACTGCAGACCACCTGGCACAAGTCGCTGTGGCAGCGCTTCCGCATGGCTTACGCAGGAATGAATGAATGGCTGGGCGCTGCCTCTTGGTTTATACTTCTGTAGCTCGTTGGTCTGCCCCTTTTCCCATGCCCCTGGTGCACACAGTCCCACATGGTACTTGCTTGACTGGACTGTGACTGACTGGGACCGGTACCGCGGACTGCATCGGTTTGCACTGCGAACTCAATGCAGTCGCACTGCCGATGTACCGCAGTTGGGCTCACCACTTGCCCACTTGCCTCTGTCTAAACGTGAGTCATACCTCGAAAGGCCACTACTGGGACCTTCCGGAATGCTGGAGACTTGGCCTTTCGAACACTGTGGCAGCTACGACCTTGACCTTTCAGGACTGCAGCAGCTACGACCTTGACTTCTCAGGACACCTACAGCTACGACCTCTAGGCCTCACTAAGACCATCCAATAGGTCTACAGATCCAACCCCCACCAACCTACGGACCTACGACAGCCTACGAACTGTTGTGAATACACAGGTCACGGGTTCAACTCTCGAGGTCGACACAGATACTGTACATGGGCAAGGTAAGAACTAGGGATCGAGCCCTGGGATCTGCATTCGCTACTGCAAACAGGTGAATACTGTTTGTGTGTGTGTGTGTGTGTGTGTGTGTGTGTGTGTGTGAGAGAGAGAGAGAGAGAGAGAGAGAGAGAGCGCTTTACAGATGGCCTTTCGAGGATGAATCCGGATGCAATCTTGCATTTTTTTGTTCGATCGCATGAACATCATGCAATATTGCATCCAGATTCATCCCCGAAAGGCCGTCTCCCAAAGCGGCCTCTTTTTCTCTCTCTCGTTTTCATACAGGTGCACTCATCCATGGCCTCTCTCTCCTGCATACACCCACACATGTTCATGGCCTCTCTCTCTCTGTCATGCTGCCATACATCTGTCCACATTCATACACACCCACATTGTCGAGATACATGAACTCCTGCATGTGTATGAATGCACACCACAATGAGAGAGAGGAAGAGAGCAAGAGAGAGCTGTGAGAGAGAGAGAGAGTCAACTTTACAGATGCTTTTTGAGGATGAGTCCGGGCACAATTGCTTGGAGAGAGAGAGAGAGAGAGAGAGACATTCGGGCCCCAGGATCTGATTGAAACGGTTTTCACCTTTTGCAGTCACAGATGCGGGCCCCAGAAGCTCGATCCCCAGACCTTACCTTAACCGTGTACAGTATTGAGTTGACCCCTGAGTGTTTGAACCCGCGACCTGTGTTTTGGTAGTTGGCTGTTGTCTGTTGTAGGTCTGTGTAGTTGTAGGGGTTCGATCTGTAGGTCTGTCGAGTAGGGGTCATAGCTGTGTAGAGGCCGTGGCTGTAGTGTTTCTGAAAGGTCAAGGTCGTAGCTGCTACAGTCCCGAAAGGCCAAGTCCACAGACTTCCGGAAGGTCCGGAAGTGGCCTTTCGAGGGTTCCTCACGTGTAGTCAGAGGCAAGTGGGCAAGTGGTGAGTCCAACTTCGCTTAGTCAGCGGTACCCAGTCCCAGTCTCACTTTGCACAGTCAGCAAGTACCATGAGGGACGGTGTACAACATGGGCCCGGTGGAAAAGGGCAGACCAACGACTTACAGAAGTATAAATCAACAGGCAGCGCCCAGCCATTCATTCATTCGCTGAGTAAGCCATGTGGAAGCGCTGCCACAGTGTCTTGTGCGAGGTGGTCTGCAGGTTGCCCGAAGTCGAAGTGGGCTGAAGAAAGGCAGAGTGTCCATAGGCAGGAGTAGCCGGCGGCCATAGCCGCCATAGCTAGTGTTAGGAGTTAGTGTATGTGTACGAGTGTGTGATACAGTTAATGCGTGTGGGATATTCAGGGTGATCCTGAGTTGAGTATGTGCGAACGCCGAACAGTGGTGTTGGACACAGTGACGAGAGTTGGGATGTACAGGCGCTGATGCGCCATAGCCGTAGTGAGTTTGCATCTGAACTGTGTTATCGACTTCCATATCTCTGAGCTTGGAGTGGGCGCTTGGCGCCAGTGTGAGTTGCCATCTGTTTGCATGTATGCGAAGCAAAGAAGAAAGTGAGTCCGATTGCATGATTTGACATCACAGGGGCAGACATTGACTGGACATTCAACAGGAAGACTATTTTTGGACTGCGCCATCGCGATCATGGTCTTCTCCCTTATCTCCATCTTAGTCTTCCTCTTCCCCCACCCTCTCATCCGTGGATCTCCCCATGTGCGTGTTCGAGGAGGGACCTTTCTTCCATGTATGCGGTCCCTGCCTTCCCTCTCACATGTGTGGTGTGTGATGGGCTGAGTCGAGTCAGTGTCCGACAGGTCAGATCGTATCTTTGAGTCTTCCACTGTGCCACTGTGCTCTTTTTGTATGTGTATGGATGGACATTGCTTGTTGGTACTTCGCTGATGCTGCATTGTCCATTCCGGTCCTTATCATCATTTTGCTGATCCTTTGGCTCATATGTATCGCTCAAATTATTCCAAGCATGCGCGATCCAGCCTCTTTTCCAAAGGGCGCCCAAGAGGCAAGTAGGCCGCTATATCTTCAGGTAGAGTGCTGGGCTCTACCTCATTTGCGGTATGGATTCGAATTCATGTGACAACTTCTGGGACCATGCGAGGCGTATGGGCTGGACCGTGGCCCAGGCGATTGAGAGACTGAGGGGAGCAGGCAGATTCGAGGAGCCCGTCGCGCGGATCCGTAGAGAGGCGACGACGAGATCAGAGGTGGAGTGGAGGATGCAGGAGCTGCGACCCTCACCTGTGGGACTTGATGGCAGGCCGATCCGCCTGGAGATTGGAAATACGTCGGATTTCATCCCCGCGTTTGAGTGGTTCATGCAGGGGCAGGGTATACCGAGAGATGATTGGATGCAGACGCTACCACTCTGGACCAGGAAGGCGGAAAGGCCACTGGCTAGCCAAGTCAGAAACATGGCCCGAGACTGGGAGAGCTGTAGGGCACATCTGAGAGAGGCCTTTCGACGGCCAGAGCCCCCTCAGCCCAGAGTTGAAAGGCGTCAGAGGAGTCAGAGGCAGAGGGACCCTGAGCCAAGGGAGGCGAGACCGTCTCGAGGAGGACGAAAGGCCCTAGCTAGGAGAGAGGAGAAGCCGGAGCCAGAGGCTGAGGGGCGAGGCGCGTACCCTGAGTGTGGGTTGGGACCAGTGGAGTTCCATCGGTTTGCCGAGGGTGGATTGAGGAGGTCGCCAGCACGCACACAGGAGGAGCCGCCAGCGTCTGAGGAGCCTTTGAGGGAGTTGGAGGCGCATTTGGATATCTCTCAGTGGAGAGCGTCGCCTCGGGGTGAGGAGCATGGAGAGCAGGCAGAGGAGGTGCTACAAGAGGAGGTGCCGCAGGAGGAGGTCCAGGACACTCAGCGAGAGAGACGGCTGGGCCATGAGGAGAGACGTGCAGGGAAGGAAGTGATAGAGGTTGGAGAGGACACGCCCCCTCAGACGCCAGCGGTGGGTTTGAGACTCGGGGATGCACCGGGGAGCACTCGCCAGGTAGGGGAGAGGTTGCAGAGAGAGGAGGCCCCATTACCTTCATCAGAAAAGGTTTCTTCACTAGAAGAGAGAGCAGAAAGGAGGAGAGAGAGGGCAGCTGTAAGGAGAGAAGCCTTGACCCTGATTGACAGACACCTAGCAGCTCATGCCCTGGAGCACCCAGACCTGGAAGAGCCAACACCTGCAGAGCTGCACCAGGAGCCGTGCCAGCCCGAGAAGGAGATGGAGGCAGAGATCCCGAAGAGGGTTGACCTCCGCACGAGGGAAAGGGCGCCAGCTGGAGAGACAGCAGAGGAAAAGAGGGCGAGAAGAACCAGGAGGATAGACGAGTTATGGCAAGAGAGGCAGAGGTTGGAGGCAGCGGGGGAGCTTCCGGAGCAGCAGGAGGAGAGGCAGAGATCGGAGGCAGCAGGAGCACTCCCAGGTCAGCCACCCAGCGCGCCAGCTAGGGCCCCGGAGATCCCTGAGATGTGGAGGGACTTCTGGGAGCAGAGAGGAGAGGAGCTTCCTTCGCCAGTCAGAGTCGAGCTTGGGGTGGCAAGGAAGGTGGAAGAAAGGTTGGATCGCAAAATCAAGTTCCTGGCCAAGGCAACTTTTGACCGGCACTTGCTATTGGAGAGCGATCTGGCAGGAAAGAAGATAAAGGAAGCAGGCCATGGGGTACGCCTGGAGGCTATGGAGGTGGAAATCCAAGAACTCGGGGCATTGGTGGCCAGTCAGGCAGCTATCATCGAGAGCCTGAGGCAGCGATCTCAGGGAGAGGTGGACAAGCCAGAGAGCAGCCGTCAGGGAGAGCAGAGGCAGCCAGGACATGGTTTGCCAGGACAGCCATCTGTAGCAGAGACTAGCCAGGAGCCACCTATGAGGTGTCATCCTGGAGCCAGAGGAGGCGAGAGCTCAGAGGGAGGCAGAGAGAGAGGCCTTCGAGTTCAGAGCCCCTACTGAGCTCGCGACACTACCTATAGCAGCGGCGGGCCCAGTCATACCTTTGGCAGTTGAGGAGGGGCTACCACCATCCAGCAGTGAGCCAGCTCAGGGCTCGGCAAAGGGATCTATGGACGTGCTCATTGAGGCAGTGCACTCGATGCAGGAGGAGGCGAGTTTGTTTTCGCCTGAGCAGAGGATAGAGGAGCCTCTCGAGAGAGAAATGAGGATTGAGGCTGAGGGTGTCATCGAGGGCGGGCTCCAGAGGTTGGGCACGCCTGAGTATGGGCCAGAGGGGATTGAGGACCGACCTGGACCGAGTACCCAGGAGTTGGAGACACGAGAGGAGCCCTTGGATATGCCTCAGAGCCATGAGTTGATCAGGGAGGCTAGCGAGGCACCATCGTCACCAGGATCTCAGAGAGGAAAGAAGAGGTCCAGGAAGTGGTTCGATACGTCATGTTTCTTCTGTACAAAGGAGGGGCATCGAGCCTTGCAATGTCCTAAGTTCCTAAAGGACAAGGCTGAAGGGAAGGTTACAGAGGAAGGAGGCAGGATGTATGACAGACAGGGCAGGAGAGTAGAGAGATCTGTAGATGGGGGTAGGGCTCAGCTATATAGGCAAAACCAAGAGGAGATGAGCCATCAGGACTGAGTTACCTATATGGTTGACATGTTGCGTGTAGGATTAGATTTAGGATTGGACGACATCCTGTAGACCTAGGTGTTGCTTGCATTTGTCGAGCAGTTTGGGTTTGGCTTTTGTTGAGTCTGCTATCTTGAGGGCCAGGACATGGTAGATAAGGCATGTACATACTTAGGTGACCTACGCCCTAATCTTCGAGAGACAGACCCAACTTGTACTTAAAGGACGACGTCAGTGTGAGTGTGGCTTTGAGTGAGTTGAGTGGGTTACTCGGGACGTTTGTGTATGGGGCATTCTGCCCCTAAGTGTATGTTGGAGGCACTTCATGTGGGACATTTTATCCCTGAGTGTACATTATATCGAGACCTTTTTTTTTTGGGACTACTTGTTGTATATGACGATCACTCTCACACTCACTTGTGTGGTCCTGGTTTGATGGATGATGGTTTGGTGTGAAATATGCGCGAGAAAATGCCTAATGTATTTTGTATCTTGTGAATCTGGATGAAAGTGAACTGTATACTCGCCAGTATACTCGTGCGGCCTGCCCTCGGGCAGATGAGAGGGCCGAGTATAAGGCAAGGAAGCGCAGTCTGTTTTGTGGAAGGATGTGAGGATCCTGAATATTTGTATGATGAATATTATATTGTTGAGATGTGTAAAAGACCCATAAGTTGGTCTTTTAACATGGAGTATATGATGAGTGGGACACCTGTGAATGGAAAGGTTGTCCATTATCTATTTGGAAGACGCACCTTCAAAGAGGGAAGATGCGTTAAAAAAAAGGTCACGAGAGAGTTCATCCTAGTGAGAGAGGGATGACTGAGAGACCTATTAAAAGTAAGACCTCCTCTATTAATTAGGTGGTTAAATAGATTGATGAATGGAAGGTTGACTTTGAATAATAAAAGACTGACGAGAGGGACCAAATTTTGCTTGACTATTGGTGGAATTTTGGGATGTCGCAAATGGTGTGCTTTAAGAAATGTCATCAAGATGTGTGACTTTCTTGCTCTGATCAAGCTGGGAGGCCACGGCCTTGTGAACCAGGCGGTGATTTTTGTTTTGTGATTATGGAGAGGTTGTCGTGCTTCCCCTATGTTGTCCCACAGAGGAACTGGTAAATACCTTTTATGTGCGGCAGGTCTATGCGTAGTCCCGCAGAAGGCTTGTATTGTTGCGACACACCGCCTGACCATTTGTGTTAATCTTGGACATTTATAAGACGACCCAGCTAGGGGTATAACTAGCATCACTAAGACGCAACCCTTGGTGTCGGCCGCTGTTTGGCACAACCTGAGCAGAGGGCCTGCGTCTGGCCAAGGGAGTAAAGACTTCAAGGGGCGTGAACGCCTAGGAGGGTTTTACTCCTGCGGAGAGGCGTGGGATAAGAGTCGAGTCATACGAACCTTTTGAGGAAGTCCTGATTGAATGCTTATCAGGAACAACCTTTCGTGGCGCAACCCGCGAAGGCACTACCGCTGAAATAACAATGCGGCAGGCCGTAGATCTGGAATGATCACCCAGACTATAGTGGGCCAAGATGGAGATCTGGTCTTCCTGTACTAGACTGCAGGAGAGCTTATGTGAGAGTCTATGTGGTACGGCTACGTATGTTAAATGTAAAGATTTTTGAGAGGAAGGCAAGAGAATGCCTTCGAAGGTCTCGGTTAGGGCCCGCACACCTAGTCACGACTTGGTTTCAAGGAAAAGGGCTAGGGGCACACAACGAGAAGCCGGCGGTTGTCTAGGGCACAGGAAAGAGGACGGTGAGAGATCCAATGGAGCTTATGCTGTAGTACAGTGAGGAGTATCCCGACGTCCGAGTGTCAGGGCGACGGAGACCCAGGTTAGAATCCTGGCAGCATAAAGTTGAGTTTGGCATGGATTATTGGAGGCCTCGACCCTGGGTTTGTCGGTTAATCGGATTGGTACCCTGCTAGTCAACACTTTGGGATTGTGATTGAATTGATAGTTTTTTTATCCTGCGAAGCGACGGGGACGTCGCTTAATATGGTTCGGTAAACTGTCGATGCGAATACCCTTACAAGGGTATCCGCCCAAGTCTTTGCAAACAACAGAAAGCAGTTTGGTTTGAAGTTTAAGTATCCCGCGCTAGGCGCGGCCGCATCCATAATTTATGTTGACTAGATGGCTGACGAGAGTAAAAGAGTGTGTGGCCGCGCAAGCTTGAGGCGCGCGTGATTTTCCCTTCCTTTGGTTACACTAGCAGGCGTGGCGCGGACATCAGTCGGCGCGCTCCATTATAACAATTGTTTGTTTTGACTAAGCTGGCTAACCTATGGGCGCTTTTCTCTGGTTCCGCGTGGAACGATGGACGGGTCAGTGAGCGAGTGTGGCCTTACGCGACATCCAGATGATGGGACCTAATGGATTCGGTCGGGTAAGGGTAGCCGCGACACAGCCGGGAGGTTGGCGCGGCCTCTCTGTAGTCATGTGTGTGAGTATGGGTTAGGAAATGGCATAGGGTGGCTCCTTTGGCCCCAAAAGGCCGGGGGCTACCTCTTTATTAGGTGAGTCAGGCTTACTGGTACTAGGCTTGGGCTTAGCCCTATAGGTTATAGCATTGGACTGGTACACAGCAGGCGCAGGGATCGAGGCCAACAGTGTGCGGCAAGGGAGCGGAGGAGTGTGGCGAAAAGGCTTGAGGGGTTGATGGGCCTATGGGACTATCCCCCTCGCCTTTTGCTGCCGCAGGGCCGAGCATGAGACTGACGGGCAGGCTGAGAGGGGTGTCGTGGTCCCTGCCCGACTACTGACCATTTTTATTTTTATTTATATATATATATATATAGATATATTATTTCTAAGTTTATTTAGTTATTATTATTGTCGCGCCCGTATGTGGACGCAAAAGACACAGCAATAGGCACGCCGTTGGACTGTTGAAAAACAGATCTCAGTTTCGAGTCAGATGGCGGAATCTAATGAGTAAGGCTGAACAATCCGAATTGCCGGCGGCCGGTCGTCCCCGCGGCCCCGGGTGTGTCCTTCGAGGGCATCTATAAAAATTGGAACGGTAAAGCGGGGATTAGCTTGACCATTGCATGCCGGCTGGTACCCGCCGGTTGGAAGGGGAACCCGAACGGAAAAAGGGGGCGGATACAAGCGGAGAGGCAAAGAAAAGGGGCGAGGTCCGAGCAGCCTTTAGAGGTGCCGCGAGGCGCCGACCGCTAGGGGGAAAGTCCTTCGGGACATCCGTTAAAATTGGAAAGATACGGAGAAAGTTAACATGGCCTCTGCGCTAAGTTAACACGTATAAAGCAGGGGTAGTACCCCCGCCGCTTTTTTTTTTGTTGGTCACACGGTCCCCTGCGACCCGGAGGTCGTGAGTTGTCTCACTTTGGTCGTTGCGGTTCGTTTTGGCCGAGCGCCGACGGAGGAGCGCTGCACCTGATATTGGTCGAAGAAAGAGCGGGAGGAGCGGGGCGTGAGCATTGAAGGAGAAAGAGAGGGAATAGCTTACCTGGCCGGTTATGCCGCAACCAACAGGGCGCTACGGCAGGCGCAGCGCTAGTGTCTGAGAAAGAGGCGTCCGAAGCCCGGACGTGAATCCGTGTCACGCGCTTGCGTGCAGAAGCGGAGGGAACGCAGTGATGGCGAAGAGCTAGGCGGTGTGCAGGCGTATGGGGGAGAGAGGGTGACCACGGAGTAGGAGATGGACGAAAGGGACGAGAGGGTTGGTAGAGAACCGATTTTGACCCTCAGTAGGCAGCAAGCAAGCGCGCAGTAGCGGGAGGGGAAACGGCGGGCGAAAGCCCTGAGTGCCGAAAGGGCAGTGGACAGTGCCTAAACCCGGACGCGAAGTTGCGTTGGGTACGTGCGGGATGAAGAAAGTGAGCCACGCAGGAAGTTGACATGGTGAGGGGCGCCTAACGGAGCTCGATTCTCGGCGCATTCGGACGAACTAAAACCGTGAGGTAAGGGTCGGGCGAATGGCATGGCAAGGGTTGTGTGGCTGATAGACCAGTAAGAGAACAAAGGGGAGGAGATAATCGTTGCGCGCAGCTATGGCGGACCGTAGGTAGAGGGAGTGGAAGGAGGGCGATACCGACCGATCCTCGACGGATTCGATCGAGGAGTGAAGCCACCTAGGGGTTCTAACATGGGGCGAAGGCAGTGGCGATGTTAGTTTCAGGTGGGAGTTAGTGATTACGAAAGTTAGTAGTGAAAATGGTRCGSGGGGSGATGGTAGGARTGGAAGAGGYGAGGAAAAGGAAACGTGTCTCTCGCTCGTTTCTGGGTGAAATTGAGCCAGAGAAGATTCATTCYAGAGGTTTCGACATACTGCGGTCTAGATGGGAGGGCTAGAATCSAAGTTTAATGGTTAGTCTTAGAGTTYTGTGAAGGAGATYTTGCRCGGAGGTSTASCAATAGAGGGGATTTGAAATCGACAATGAACCTTCCCGGTTTTTGGCAGGARGTTCATTTATAATTTTCTTTTGTATTTTGTCTTTTCTTTCT